GCTTTTTAAGCTAATATTCTATGAATCTTTTCTGGGGACATGCTTCAGAATAGTGAAAAAAATTCATAGGTCAAAAGAGGTTTTTTTTAAGTAAAAAAACATTTGCTATTTATAAAGGTAATAATCTTAGAAAATTCAGTACTTGAAGAAAAGCAGAAAGATGCAAATTACCCCCTGAAATCCAACCATCTAGAGATAATATTTTAAAATATTTTGACGAGTGAGTGTATTTTCACCATTTTAAATTTATACATACAGTATGCATTTATACTGTCATTGAATGTAGATGTATTGCTATGCCCTGAAAATCTGAATAATTATTCCAGTTTTTTGAGGTACCAGTATTTAAAGAGTCCTTTATAAAATGACATTTAGATTGTTACTAGTTTTTTAATATTTTATACTGTCGTAGTGAACATTTTCATATCTGCACAGTCTATAATGCTTCTGTAAACCAAGTTTAGGAGTGGAATTGGGGAGTGTATTTAGTGAGTGGTTATTCTATCTATCATCTATCTATCTATCTGTTTTGAGAGAGAGCATATGCAGCAGTGGGGGAGCAGGAGAGGGAGAGAATTGTAAGCAGGCTCCACACCCAGCATGAGCCCAATGACCCTGAGATCATAACCTGAGCCCAAATCAAGAGTTGAGTGCATAACTGACTGAATCACCCAGGCGCCCTTAATAAGTGGTTGTTTTAAACCAAAATGAGGTTATTGGTGAGTTTTAGGTTTACTAGGTGAAAATATGTGCTTTTCTTTAGACCATGAATTTTCCCTTAAAAAATCTGAAGTATGAAGTCTCTTTTCTCTCTCCATATTTGATACTGATCCTTATAAGTCCAGGCAAAAAACAGAAACTTATTGGAGATCAGTTTAAAAACATCATAGACTTAAAATCTGAAAGGATGTGCCTTTTGTGATCCTCTAGGTCAACTTTTCACTGAGAGCAGACTCTCCTGTTTTATCATCCTTGACAGCTTTTGCTTAAATAAAATATTCCATTTTTAGACAGCTGTAGTTTGTTAGAAAAATTTATCCTCCTGTTGAGCTGAAATGTGTTGCTTCCTAATTCCCACATACTCCTTCCTGCTCTCAGGACCACAGGGAATTAAGGCAAATGCCTCTTCCAGGAGACATTTTCGCAGCTATTTGAAGATAGCTATCAAATCTTGATATTTCCTTCTTTTTTCTTTCCTTTTTTTTTTTTTTTAAAGATTTTACTTATTTATTTGAGAGAGAGAGAGAGAGAGCGAGCAAGCAAGCCTGAGCAGGGAAGGGGGGCAGAGGCAAAGCGAGAAGCAGACTCCCCACTGAGCAGCGAGCCCGATATGGGGCTCCATCCCAGGACTCTGGGATTAAGACCTGAGCTGAAGGCAGTTGCATAACCGACTGAGCCACTCAGGTGCCCCTTTCCTTCTTTTTTTCTAAACTAAACTGTTTGTTTCTCCATCTATATTTGTATCTCCTATGTTGTATTTTCTATTTCCTTTCCCAGTCTGAATTTTATTGCTGTGGTTTGATAGTGCAAAAGTCAATGAAACAATCATTTCCCCTCATATGAGCATTATTAATAGGCACTCACACCATTTATACTCCTGATTCACACTGAATTTCCTATTCAGTACTTAGAGTTTTGAACCTACAAGCAGATTTTTGTATCTCTGTATTAAATTTAGTCTTATGCTAATTTTTTAAAAAAAATTTTATTTATTCATGAGAGAGAGAAAGAGGCAGAGACACAGGCAGAGGGAGAAGCAGGCTCCCTGTAGGAGTCCCTAATGCAGGACTCAATCCTAGGACCTCGGGTCACGACCTGAGTTGAAGGCAGATGTTCAACCACTGAGCCACCCTGGCATCCCAAATTTAATCTTATTTTAATTACCTGTTTTCTAGCTTCATGATACTGCTTTTTTTTTTTAAGAGTTTATTTATTTATTCATGGGAGAGAGAGAGAGGCAGAGACATAGGCAGAGAGAGAAGCAGGCTCCATGCAGGGAGCCCGATGTGGGACTCGATCCCAGGACCCAAGGATCATGACCTGGGCCAAAGGCAGGCAGGCACTCAACCGCTGAGCTATCCAGGCATCCCCAGGATATCATTTTGAATCATTATAGTCATCTCAGTTTTTATTGGCTGCTGCCAATTTTGTGTAACCTGGGAATTCAGGTAATAAGTCTTCTAGTCTCTTACCTGAATTACTGACTAAATGTTTCATGGGGTGAGGCTGGTAACCCCTGTTGTGGCATACCCACTGAAAACTGACCATTTGCTAAGGATCGTTTTTTATTTCCACAGTTTGTAGTTGCCAAAAATAGACTTTTTATTTTTGCTTGTGAATATTGGGGCAGCTTTTCATCTTAATTTTTTAGCACCACCCATTTTTTCCCTCACCATTAAGAAAGACTTTGGGGCAGCCCAGGTGGCTCAGCAGTTTGGCGCCGCCTTTAGTCCAGGGCGTGATCCTGGAGACCCGGGATGGAGTTCTATATCAGACTTCCTGCTTAGGGCCTGCTTCTCCCACTGCTGTGTCTCTGCCTCTCTCTCTCTCTCTCTCTCTCTCTCTCTCTCTCTCTGCCTCTCATGAATAAATAAATAGAATCTTAAAAAAAAAATTAAATAAAGTTGACTCTGGATCCAGATTCCTAGGTTCTAATCATGGCCAGTTTTTAGCTGTGTGACCTTGAGCAGGTCACTTCCCCAAAGTCCCAGTCTCTTTCCTCTGTAAAATGGGGATGGTCATAGTATTTATTTCCTGGAGTTATGAGGGTTTAATGAGTTTATATACATAAAGCATTAGAACAGGTCCTGGTCTGTAGTCAGTGTTACGTAAATGTACTGTTTTACTCAGATTTTGTTCTGCGCTCTACAGCCCTACCTCAGATTGAATTCCCAGGTTAAATGTATGTGGTTCTGCAGGCTTGAACTGCTTTGAAGCAGCTGTGGTCTCACTTCCCATGTGCTCATATATCTGGGGCTTAAGATCTCTTGAATATTTCATCTAATGGCGTTGCTTGAAGAAGAATATTTTAATATCCTTTCCATGATGAAAGAGTTAGTTCTTACTAAAGGCTCTTTGTAAAATACAGAAAAAAGTAAAAGGAAAACCAAAATTTCACCACCCCAATATAACTACTAATGTCTTAGCATGTTTCTTTTTCCTCCCGCCATGCAGTGGATACAATCATGTCATATATATGTAATTTTTGTATTTCGTTTTTTCTTTAAGAATACCTTAGGAGTGTTTTTTAAAAATACAGTTTTTGTTTAAAAAGCCTATTTTAATGGCTGCATAATATTGAGTGAATCCTCTGTACTCCCTTCCCAGTTGTTGAACTGATTAGGTTATCCACTTTTTATTATTCTAAATTATACTGTGATGAGCTTCTTTATAGCATAAAGGCTTCTTCAGAATTTATTATCATTTAGTAAGTTTCCAAAGCTGAAGTCTCAGGTCAGCAGCTATAAACCTTTTAAGACCAGAAGACTATTTTATTGATCAGTATTGATCTCCAAATAAAGTAGGAGATAGTTTTTTTCTTCTTCTTTTGTAGTAATCAGTTCCTTTTTCTTCATTCTCTGAATTGTAACAAAGTTTTGTTTTGTTTTGTTTTAATTTGCCTTTCTTCCCCCAAGGTTCAGGTTATTTTTTTTTTAAAGATAGATTTATTGATTGATTGATTGAGAGAGCAAGTGAGAGAGAGCACGCACACACAAGCAGGAGGGGCAGAGTGAGAGGGAGAGAGAATTTCAGGCAGATTCCACCCTGAGTGTGGATCCTGGTTGTGGGGCTGGATCTCACAACCCTGAGATCATGACCTGAGCCAAAACCAAGATTTAGACGCTTAACCAACTGCACCACCCAGGCGACCCCAGGTTATTTTAATAGGTTCTTGGTGCTCACATTGTTCTGGGTTATGTATTTCTTCTATCTTTTATAAGTGTTATTAGAGAGTTTTACGTAGGCTGTGCAGGTGTTTCATTAGCACAGGAGTCCTTTGGATTTAGTGGAAGAAAACTGAGGAGGGGACCTTGGTGGTTCCTCTGTTCTCAGCTCTTGCTGTTTCTTCCTCTGATAATATTTTTTTTTAGCTACACTTCTTGAGCTTTGCACATAATTTGACTGGGGTTAACTCTCTGTGACTTAGATTATTTCATGGGTTACACTTGAGCTGGCTGCCTTCTTGCTAGCTTAAAAAATTCTTTTCACAGTTAACAAGTGTTAACTTGGGCTGTGATGGAATCTTTTAACCTGATTCTTTTGGAAAAGCTTTCTTTCTTTCTTTTTTTTTTTAAGATTTATTTATTTTAGAGAGTGAGCAGGAGTGGGAGGGGCAGGCAGAGGGAGAGGGAAAATCCCAAGCAGACTCCATGCTGAGCATGGAGCCCGACGCAGGGCTTGATTCCAGGACCCTGAGACCGAGATCTGAGCCAAAACCAAGACTGATGCTCAACTGGCTGCATTCCCAGGTGCCCTGGGAAAGCTTTCTTTTTTTGTTGCTGTTCTTTGCTAAATATTAATTTATAGAACTTGAAGAATTCCATCATATTAAGCTCCCGTGTCCATAGCTTAAAAATGAATATTTTATCTTAAGCGTCTTTATACATTCAATAACTTTTGAACTCCAGCATATCCTAAAACCATGTTTTTTTGTTAAGACTATTTTTTTTCTTTTAAGATTTTTATTTCTAAGTAATCTGTACACCTATTGTGGGGCTCAAGCTCACAACCCTGAGATCCAGAGTTGAACGCTCCATGGACTGAGCAAGCCAGGCACCGCAAGACTATTTAATATCACTACATGCTGGTTTATTTCAAAACTTTGATTTATCGACACAGAAGAGGAAAACCTACACACCTACCATTTAGCACCACCACCTTCATCTTATCTGTGTTGTATCCACAGCTCTCATGCTAACGTAGATGTTTGCAGATTCTGTATAATTGTATGTTTATTTCCATGTGTATATATTTACAACTGTGTCTATATTTCATTTAAGATCTGGACGTTGGTAGTTGGCTATGTGTTGACTGTTTCATTCAAGTGGAATGCAAGCACTGAACGCTACTTGAGAGCAGTTTCAATTCCTGTCTGGATTATATTGCTTTTTCATTTAGGTGGGTCCCTTTTTCTAAGAAAGTCTAGCTTAAAATCAGCAGAGGCTGATCATGTGAATCAAAGTGATTTTTTTTTTTGTAGTGTTATATGTTGCATTTAACCTTCTTTAAAATAAGCTTCAGAAAATGTTGTGCTTTAATCCTTAAGCTTTAATACAAATGTTATGTTTTAACATGTCTTTTAATTATATGAGATGTTCATTTTCAGGAGGTCCTTTAAACAGAAATATATCCTAAAAAAATAGAGCACCCTTGAACTATCATGGCCACTTTTGAGTGTCATACTTAAGGAGGAGATAGATAAGCAGTCAAGTGTGTGAGAAAGGTATGGGAACCAGAGGTATTTACTCAGGATAAGAGAAGGGGCCTGGGCTACATGGGTGGGGAGGTAGTGGAGGGAAGGAAGAGATAAAATGTGGAAGGACTGTCCTGTGAAAGAGCAGTTTTAACATCTTTGTAACCATGAGGGAGAGATGTCAGAGCAGTGAGTTAGCTTCAGAGAGACACAACTGTTCAACGTAAGAACCATCAATGTCAGCTGCTTGAAGGAATAAGTTCCCTGTTACTTGGGCCTCTTTACTGTTAGCTGGGTGGCTGCTAGGATGTTGTAGAGTGATTTTTTTTTTTGGAGACTCTTTTATTTCCCAATCTTAAGCTTATGGCAACATTAGGTTCTAATTTAAAAACAAAATTCAGGAACCTAGAGCAGTAGTTAGCCTATTTCAAGTAGTTTTTAGAGCTGCTTATTGTTAAACATAAAACTAAAAACCAGTTGACTGAAGGTAGGTCTTTGCTTAGAGTATGACGTGAAACAATGCATTACTTTCTAGCTTTGCTGATTTGGAATCCTAGAGGAGTAAGTTGTATTTTAGCAAGATTCCCTGATGTCTGATGTGACTTATTTTGAATTTGGGGAAGGCAGTGGAGGGAGATAGGTAGTCCATGAGGCTCTAGATCAACTCAGGGAAATGCAGATGCCTATGGGTAGGGACCAGATCCTTGGATACTTGTTAGCATTTTTGCTGTATACACTGAGGCTACACTGAAGCTTTTTGCAGTGCTCTTTGGGGTCATTTCACCCTTTCTTGAGAGATGGGAGTCCACACCCAGTGGTATTTCCAGGAAATAAAGTCAGGCTCTATGACTTTAGGTTCTATGTTTGATGCAGGTCATTTTGGGGTTAAATGAAAGGTTTGAGTTCAGGATTATCTTCAACACTGGGTATGCATTGGAACAGACTTGATTCCTCAGGTGATAGAAGCCCATTAAGGGTAGGCTGGCACATACCCAATGCTTTAGACTAGGGGCCTCAGAACAGGGCTGGATTTACCTAAGAGAAGTTTTGAACTGATGTTTCATCTGTTTTATGGCCTTTAACATTTTTTTTCCCCCTGTGAAATGATTTTGTTAATGACATCTATGCCAAATTGTTCTGTCAGTCTGTGGAGTCTTGTTTTTTTCAATCTAACCTTTACCTTCAGTCAGTGTTGCTAAGAATAAACTGAGTCTTTCAAAGACAAGTGCTAGATTTTTATCTAACTAAAAATGTTAACTCTTAATAATTTTCAGCATCCCTGGCTGGCTCATGGAGAATTCCTGTATTCCTGGTTATTGTTTTCCTGATGTCTGTGGGCACCCTCTATGAGAAACAGAATGGAAAAGAGTCTTCTGGTAAGAAATAGGGCATTCTATTAATACTGCTTTAAGAAGTATTTGGGAAAGGAGCTTTATTTAAAAAAACATGCAATGGCAAAACTTTTAAATCTGTATAAAAATCTGTGGTATTTTCTGAACAAAATAAACATGTTTAAAATATTTTAGGTTTTAAGAATGTGCCTCACTCCCCTTCCCTCCTTCCCCCGCCCCCATTTTTTAAAGATATAATTCACCTAACATAAAATTAACCATTAACTTTTTAAAGGTGGATTTAGTATATTTACCTGTTGTGCAACCACTATGTCCATCTAGTTTTAGGACATTTTCATCACCCCAAGAGGAAATCTTTTACCCATTAAGCAGCTAACCATAAAGTTAGGTTATTTATTTGAGATCTTTTTTCTTTTTCAAAAAGATTTTATTTATTTCTTTGAGAGGGAGAGAGAACACAAGCAGCAGGCGGGGGGAGAGAGAGAGAGAGAGAGAGAAAGAAAGAAAGAGAAAAAGAAAGAGAAAAAGAAAAAGAAAGAAAGAGAAAGAAAGGAAAGGAGAAGCAGACTCCCCGAAGAGCAGGGAGCCTGATGCTGGGCTCCATCCCAGGACCCCAGGATCATGACCTTAGCTGAAGGTAGATGCTAAACTGACTGAGCCACCCAGACTGCCCAAGAGATCTTTTTTCTTTTCTTTTCTTTTCTTTTCTTTTCTTTTCTTTTCTTTTCTTTTCTTTTCTTTTCTTTCTTTCTTTCTTTCTTTCTTTCTTTCTTTCTTTCTTTCTTTCTTCCTTCCTTCCTTCCTTCCTTCCTTCCTTCCTTCCTTCCTTCCTTTCTTTCTTTCTTCCTTTCTTTCTTTCTTTTTCTTTTTCTTTCTTTCTTTTTCTTTTTCTTTCTTTCTTTCTTTCTTTCTTTCTTTCTTTCTTTCTTTCTTTCTTTTCTTTCTTTTCTTTCTTTTCTTTCTTTTCTTTCTTTTCTTTCTTTCATTTTTATTTATTCATAGAGACCCAGAGAGAGAGAGAGAGAGGCAGAGGGAGAAGCAGGCTCCATGTAGGGAGCCTGACATGGGACTGAAGGTGGCACCAAACCACTGAGCCATCAGGGCTCCCCGAGATCTTTTTTCTTAATGTAGGCATTATCATTCTAAATTGTCCTCTTAGAATTGTTTTTCCATCCCATAAATTTCATTTCTTATGTTTCCATTTTCTTTGGGTCAAGATACTCTTAGATTTCCTTTTTGAATTTTTCTTTGACACATTGGTTAATCGGAATTGTATTGTTTAATTTCCACATCTTTGTGAGTTTCCCATTTTTTTTGTGGCTTGTGATTTTGGTGTTCTATCTAAAAAAACCATTGCCAAATGCAGGGTTGATCTTGTATCCTGCAACTTTGCTGAATTTATTCATAGACTTTAATAGCTTTTTATGGTTTCTGTAGGATCATCTATCTCTAAGATCATGTCATCTTTGAATAGAGATAGTATTACTTCTTTGTAATTCGAATGCGTTTTTTTTTTTTTTTTTGCCTGGCTGCCCTGGCTGGAACTTTTAATACCATGTTGAATACACCATTTTCTCTTAAAAGAGTATTTTTTTAAATACCCTGGTTGCATGTGATTTATATCCAGAAATAGTTTGTTAAAGATATAGGTTTCTAATAAGTTGTAAGGCGAGGCGTTGGGTAGTCAGATATTAATGATCCTCAGATCATCAGGCTGGACTTCTCCTTATCCATCCATGTGGAAACAGCTGTGACTGGAGAGGTAGGTCTGAGTAGCACACAGTTTCTACAGCAACTGACATTTATTCCTTCTTTCTGATGAAGTAAAAGCAAATTACTAATTGCAGCAGAATTTTCAAAGAAAAAAATAATTTCTCAGATATTTTGTTATAGTTAGGAAATTAACTTATTTTTTCTATAGTTAGAAAATAAATGTTCAAAATCCCACTGTCCACCTAAATGTTAACTAATGCCTTAAGACTTTTATGCCTTCAGACTTTAAAACCCAAGAGAATTGGCTCATAGTGAACATTCTGTTTTGTAATCTACATTTTAAACTATGTCACGAGAACCTTTCTGTGTCCAATATACTTCTACAGCATTATTTTTAGCATCTTCATTTTATGCTAATCGCAGGGCTATTTGTGGCACCCTGGTGTTATGTACAGCTGCCTCATAGTTTGTGTTTTTGTTTTTGAATTAAATTGCTCTGTTTATTATTTTATATGGAAAGCTTACATATCCCTTTGATAGTGGAAGATAGGAAAAATTTTATTTTGCTCTTTTTCCAAGTTTTCTTTGCTCCACCTGTCTTCCTGGTCACAATCTGTTAGACTCTATGGTTATATATGAGACTAGTAGAAGTGAATTTCCTGTTTTGACAACAATTGTAGGAAGCTTAGTGGTCACCACTTGTTCCTCTGGATAGCTTTATCTCCCCCTACCTCCTTATTTCTGCTAATAGTGGTGATTCAGATAACTCGGCTTATCCCTCACCCTTCATCCATCACCCCAGGATGGTTTTATTTTTTTGTTTGTCTGGAAAGTTCTCCCTCCCTCCGTCTCTCCTTCCTTTCCTTCCTTCATTGAGGTATATTTGACATATAGGATCATAACAGTTTTAGGTGTATAACAATGATTTAATGCTTGAACTGTACATTGCAAAGTGATTATAAGAAGTCTAGTTAACATCTGTCACCTTATGTAGTTACAAAAAAGATTTCTTGTGATGAGAACTTTGAAGATCTCTCTTAGCAACTCTCAGATATGCAATACAGTATTATTAGCTCTAGACACCATGCTGTACATGACATCTCTAGGACTTATTTTATAATGAAGTTTATATCTTTTGACTCCCTTCACCCATTTTTCCTATCCCCTACCCCCAGCTATGGCAACCACCAATCTGTACTCTGTATCTATGAGCTTGGTGTGTGTGTTTAAATTCTACATGTACGTGAGATCATATGATATTTGTCTTTCTCTGAGTTATTTCACTTAGCATAATGCTCTCAAGGTCCATCCACACTGTTGCAAATGGCAAGGTTTTCTTCTTTTTTTGGCTGAATAATATTCCATTGTGCACACACACCACATTTATCCATTCATCCATTGATGGACACTTAGGTTGTTTCCATGTCTTGGCGATGGAAGACATTTACTTACTTGGTAAGTAATGCTGTCATGCACATGGGGGCATATAAATCTTTTCCAGTTAGTGTTTTTGATTTCTTCAGGTAAATACACTGAAGTGGAATTGCCGGATCTTATGGTAGTTCTATTTTTAATTTCTCTAGGACAGTTTTCTCCTCTTGACTGTTTTTGTCTAGGGCTAAGTCAGTATGTTGTTGCAAGTATATGAATAATGTGGCCTGAAACGGTTTTTCTCTTGGGTGTAAATTCTAGCTAGCTGTGGGGCACCTGGGTGGCATAGTCAGTTAAGCCTCCAATTCTTGGCTTTGGCTCAAGTCATGATCTTAGGGTTGTGAGATTGAGTCCTGTGTTGACTCTGTGATGAATGCAGAGTCTGCTAAGGTTTCTCTTACCCTCTCCTTTTGCCCACCTTACTCATTCTCTCTCTCTCTCTCTTAAATAAATCTTAAAAAAAAAATTCTAGTCAGCTAGTGATGGCAGCTTAGGGAGCTGTGTGGTCAGGTTTCTAAGACCAAATTTTGAGCTGTGGGAAAAAGAAGACCATGTTTGATCATTATTATTATTTTTCATGTTCGATTATTATTATCAGCTGTAAACTCAGCATGGTGATGTGCTGGCATGCCAGCCAGATATCTGGTAGTTGTATTCTAGACTCTTAGAAGGAAGGAGATCACAGGACACAATACATGTTGAGAGCAGATTTGGAAATGTTGGTTTTTCTTGTTTTGTTTGCTCTTATTCTAGCCTATTTCAGGATAGATTATTTTTTTGAAGATTTATTTATTTATTTGGAGAGAGAGAATCTCAAGCAGACTTTCCACTGAGCTCTGAGCCTGACTCAACCTACTGAGCCACCCAGGTGCCTCCAGAATAGATAATCCTTTCATTTTTTTTTTTAATATTTTATTTATTTATTCATGAGAGAGAGAGAGAGAGAGAGAGAGAGGCAGAGACACAGGCAGAGGGAAAAGCAGACTCCTTGCAGGGAGCCTGATGTGGGACTCGATCCTGGGACTCCAGGATCACACCCTGGGCCGAAGGCAGCGCTAAACCGCTGAGCCACCCGGGCTGCCCTAGAATAGATAATTCTTGACCCAGAATCCTTTTACAGACTTCTAGTCTAATCTTCATCATAAAATAAATCTTTAAACATTTTTTGCCACCTTAAATTTCAGAGTCTTTTTACTCCTAGTACCTTGTTTCTTTAAGGCATCTAGTCTATACTGGGACAACCTTACCCTTTTATTAGAGTCAGTTCTGTCCTGTAGATGTCACTATAATATCCTTAGGTACAGGAAGGGCTTTAATGCACTGTCGGGGCAATATGTGCATTTATCTCTTCCTTACCATTACTACTGTCCCATTGTAGGACGTGTCTCCTCTTCACCTGTGCAGGCATTTTTCTCTGTGTCTTAAGAGCTTTGAAAGCTTTGAATCTTGCTGTTGTAGGACTTTTATGGTATATGGTTTGCTGGAGTCACAGAATTAATCCTTTGGATCGAAGCATGAAGTTTGTTTAGTTCCTAGATCTCGAAAACTCTTCTTGTGAATCATCGTGCAGTTAGTTTCAGTGGTTCCTTCTGAACCCAAGATGCCTTACTCAGTGGTTTTCTCTTAGACCTTGGGAACTCTTACATGGCATTTTCTGGAACCCCAAGATAATGTAGGAAAAAAAAATGTGTCTACTGTATTTTAAAATGTACTGTCTTTTTAAATCCGTAGGTAACTCCCCAAAATAAAACCCTTGTAAAGTAGATATGTCCATTTTACCAATGTAGGCATTTAATTTCAGAGTAAGACACTTGCCCACATAGGCAACTGGTAGAGCTAAGATTTAAAACTTAGGGCCCTTGACTCTATGCCTGGTATTA